ATCAGCGTCAAACACTATGGCTTCTGAGAGCCAGGACTGAGAAAACAAGTAGTTGTGGGCTCTTCTGAGGCAGGTGACACCAAAGAACCAAGAGAGGAGAGGAGGCAAATGCCAAAATGAAGCCCCTAATGATCAGGGACATAGAAGAGGGAACTACAAGAATGAACTTGAGGGCTTTGGGTTGAAGGAAAGGGAACTGAAACTCAAGACAGGGAGAGTGGCATCCTAGTGACAAGAACCCCAGAGAAAGGAAAGAGGGAAGTGGAGAAGATCCTAGGCAACAGGATTCAGGAAAAGGACAGGAGCCAGAAAGAACCCCCTAGAAAGAGTATTGCAAAGCCAAACAAGGAAATATGTGGAGGAAGTAGTGGGGACTTACCATAAGAAAAACAGAGAAAATTTAAAGGAAATGGAAGACTTCCTGGATAGATATCACCTGCCAAAATTAAATCAAGAACAGATAAGCAATTTAAATAGACCTATAAACCCTAAGGAAATAGAAGCAGTCATCAAAAGTCTCCCAACCAAAAACAACAACAAAAAAAGCCCAGGGTCAGATGGCTTCAGTGCAGAATTTTATGAGAAATTCAAAGAACAGCTCATACCAATTTTCCTCAAAGTATTCCATGCACTAGAAGCAGAAGGGTCTTTGCCAAACTCTTTTTACAAGACTTCAATAATACTGATAACCAAGCCACACAAAGACAGAACTAAGAAAGAGAACTTCAGACCAATTTCCCTCATGAACATTGGTGCAAATATACTCAATAAAATACTGGCAAATCAGATCCAAGAACACATCAGAAAACTCATCCACCATGCCACCGTGATCAAGTAGGCTTCATTCCAAGGATGCAGGGATGGTTCAACATACGAAAATCTATCAATGTAATCCAAGCAGAGAAACAAAAATCACATGATCATCTCACTAGATGTTGAAAAAGCCTTTGATAAAATCCAACACCCCGTCATGGTAAGGGTCTTGGAGAGATCTGGGGTAACAGGTACATACCTAAACATAATAAAAGCTATATACAACAAACCAATAGCCCACATAAAACTAAATGGACAGAAACTCAACGCGATTCTGCTAAAATCAGGAACAAGACAAGGGTGTCCCCTCTCCTCACACCTCTTCAATATTGTACTCAAAGTTATAGCTAGAGCAATAAGACAACAAAAGGAAATCAAGGGGATACAAATTGGGGAGGAAGAGGTAAAATGTTCACTATTTACAGATAATATGATAGTTTACATAAGTGACCCAAAGAACTCTAGCAAGGAACTCTTACAGCTGATTAACACCTTCAGCCAAGTGGTAGGATACAAGATCAACTCAAGAAAATCTGTAGCCCTACTATATACAGATGATAAGAGGGCTGAGAAAGAAATCAGAGAAACATCACCCTTTACAATTGCCACATACAAGATAAAACACGTAGGGGTAACGCTAACCAAACAAGTGAAAGACCTGTATCACAAGAACTTTGAGTCTTTAAAGAAAGAAATTAAAGAAGACACCAGAAAATAGAAAGATCTCCCATACTCTTGGATAGGTAGGATCAATGTAGTAAAAATGGCAATCCTGCCAAAAGTAATCTACAGACTCAATGCAATCCCCGTCAAAATTCCATCACAATTCTTCACAGACCTTGAAAGAACAATTATCAACATTATATGGCAAAACAAAAGACCCCAGATAGCCAAGACATCCCTGCTCAACAAAGGAACATCTGCAGGCATCACCATTCCTGACTTCAAGCTCTATTATAGAGCTTTATTCCTGAAAACAGCTTGGTATTGGCACAAAAATAGACAGGTAGACAAATGGAATCGAACTGAACACTCTGAGATTAATCTACAAACCTATGAACAGCTGATTTTTGACAAAGAAGCTAAAATTATACAATGGAAAACAGCATCTTCAACAAATGGTGCTGGCATAACTGGTTATTGGCATGTAGGAGAGTGCAGATAGATCCATGTCTATCACCATGCACAAAACTTAAGGCCAAATGGATCAAAGACCTCAACATAAATCCAGCCACACTGAACCTGTTAGAAGTGAAAGTGGGAGGTACCCTTGAACAAATTGGTACAGGAGACAGCTTTCTGAACATAACACCAGCAGCACAAACACTGAAATCGACAACTAATAAATGGGACCTCCTGAAACTTGAGTAGCCGCTGTAAGGCAAAGGACACAGTCAGCAAGACAACCCACAGATTGGGAAAAGATATTCACTAACCCCACATCTGATAGAGGGCTAATCTCCAAAATTTACAAAGAACTGAAGAAACTAGTCTCCAAAACACCAAAGGACCCAATTAAAAAGTGGGAGACTGAACTAAATAGAGAATTCTCAATAGAGGAGTCTAAAATGGCTGAGAGTGCTCAATATCCTTAGCCATTAGGGAAATGCAAATAAAAACAACCTTGAGATATCATCTTATACCTATCAGGAAGTCTAAAATCAAAAACACCAATGACAGCTTATGTTGGAGAGGATGTGGAGAAAGGGGAGCACTCGTTCATTGCTAGTGGGAGTGCAAACCTGGACAGCCACTTTGGAAATCAGTATGGAGATTCCTCAGGAAAATAGGAATCAGTCTAGCTCAGGAACCAGCAATTCCACTCTTAGGCATATACCCAAAAGATGCCCATTCATACAACAAGGCTGTATGTTCCACTATGTTCATAGCAGCATTATTTATAATAGCCAGAACCTGGAAGCAGCCTAGATGCCACTCCACTGAAGAGTGGATAGAGAAAATGTGGTACATTTACATAATGGAGTACTACTCAGCGGGGGGGAAAAACAATGGAATCTTGAAAATTGCAGGCAAATGAATGGCACTAGAAGAAACCATCCTGAGTGAGGCAACCCAGTCAAACATGGTATGTACTCACTCATATATGGATTTTAGACATGGATCAGGGGAGTGTTGGCCTACAATCCCTTGGCCAGTGAGTCTTGGAAACAGGGAGTTTCCCAAGAGATATATATGCATACCCCAGAGAAGTGGAAAGGGGAAGATCTCCTGAGCAGATTGGGAACATGGGGGAGAGGAGAGGGAACCAGGAAAAAGAGAGGGGGATAAGAGGAGGGTAGAAGAAGACATGGGGGAGCAGGATGCTTGAGTTGGGGTAAGAATAGAGGAGACCAGGATGAAAGATACCATAATAGTAGGAGTCATTATAGCTTTGAGGAGAAAGCTGACACTAGTGACATTTTCAGAGATCTACAAAGATAACACCAACTGGAAACATAAGTAATAGTAGAGAGACTACATTAATAGCCACTACCTGATGATAATGTTGTTGACTACCTTATATGACATCCTAGAACCTTCATCCAGACACTGATGGAAGCAGAGACAGACACTCACAGTTAAACACTGAACTGACCCCCTGGAACCCAGTTACAGAGATGGAGGAGTGATGAGCAAAGGAGTCAAGACTGTGTTGGTGAAACCCACAAAGACAACTGACTGGACAAGGGGGAGCTCTTGAATCCCAGACTGATGGCTAAGAGGCTAACAGGGGACTGATCCAGATTCCATGACTGTAGTGTAAGTGAGGAGATTAGTGTTCACCATGGCATACGAATGAACTTGGGGAGCCCACTCCACATGGAGGGATGCTCTCTCAGACTGGACACATGGAGAAAGGCCTAGGTCCTGCCCTGGATGAAATGACAGACTCTGTAGATCCCCCCAAGGAGGACCTCACCCTCCCTGGGGAATGATGTGGGAATTGGGCTGGGGGTGGGGGTTGGGGGTGGGGGTGGGGCTGGTGGAGGGAGAAGGGGGGAGCTGGAATTGACATTTGAAGCATGCATGTTTCTAATTTAAATTAAAAAAAATAAAAATGTCTAATCTAAAAAAATAAGGAAAACAGAGAGAGTGGGTATGGAAGAATAAATACGCTCCAGGAGAATATTAGGGGAGGCAGAGTGGCACCTCAAGCTAAAAAGCTAGTGAGGAGGATATCACCATATTTTCACTAGCCCTTACACATCCAAATCACAGTACCAAATCTGTTCCTGGGGGGATCATTGATGTTGTTTGGATGAGATAATCTAAGGTTAGGAGTACCTCCTCTAGAACCCTTTCCCAAAGAATGAAACAGAGACTAGGGATAAGGATAGGGAAGATTTTTTTAAAAAATCAGAAGTATAAGAATAAACCTTAGATTGTTAACTGAGCACAAAGTATCCCCATCTGGGTGTACAGATAGTCAGATGGGTTGAGGTTGGATGAAAACAGCAATCTGCCCAGAATCTCTTGAGTAGTGGGTGTGAAAACTGCTTTCCATCTCCTCTGGAGAACACAGGAAGAAAGAACCACATTGATTACAGTTGGATTTGTCTACAAAGTCAGTTTCAAATATGTTCTGTGTGGTTTCCATTCCTCACAATGCATGTTTGAGACAGGAGACAGCTAACCAAGTTTGTTGACATGAGTGATATTTTACCTTTTGTTAGCTTTGGACTAGGGAGGCACAGATACTGACTGTATTTACTGTCATTTCACCTTTAGCTTTGGGGTTAAGGCCCCAAGTTGCTCTTCTGTTTAACCTTTAACTTAGCGGGGACAGGAAATTTGGGGACTACTTGATGATGTATTAGTGTCTGAAGATTCTAAACTGCCTCTTTCAGAATACCCCTCCTTTCCCAGTTTCCTTTTTGCATAATCCAACAGTTTGAAGAGGCCAGTCAAACCTCTAACTAGAAAGTGTATTTGATGTTTATCAGTGCCCTCTAACTAATGAAAGATTCAGAATTTCCAACTAAAACACATTATTTCTACAATGTTAATTTGACTGGAATAGAAGGGAGCTAAATGTCTCTCAAGATCAGGGCAGGGAGGTGAAACTGCTTTGACAAACATTTCTAGATTGAGGCTTAGTCTGAACTCATTGGGCACCAATGACATCTCAAAGCCTAAGATGTCATAAAGGTAGCTGCTGACCAATGAGCAGAATCTGGGGGATGTAATAGGCAGGGCTAAACATTGAGTATCTTCAGAGACCCAGTCCTGCTGGTGAACCAAGCAGAGTTTATCGGAGCCCTAGCCATAAAACCATCATGTCAGGGAAGAAGAACCCAGAAAACTCTTGCAGTGACAACAAGAAGATGACAGATCCTTCTTCTAGGCCCGAGGTACAGGTTCCTGTGAACTGTGTTTACCGCCTGCTGCAGGAGGAGCAATATACCCCCTGCCTAGGCTCCACCACGTCAGATTTCCTCCTCTCCGTGTTTGATAACCTTACTGACTACATCCTGGAGGTGGTGGGCTCCGAAGCCAACATCAGCAGCCAGCAAGGCATCTCACAAGATAGAGAGAGGCAAGGGAACAACCGTGAACCTTCTCATGCCTTCAAGAATGTGCCTTTCTCTATGTTTGATGAGACACCTGAACACAGAAGGAATGGCTGAAGAATGGGGGACAGAACCCAAGGGTGGGAAGCCTCACAAACTCAGCTAGGACCATTATGGCTAATAGCAGAGGAGGCTCCCCTGGTGTCAAGGAACACAAATAAAGGAACAAAAATGAATCTGCTTGTTCTAATTCTTTTCAATTTGTCTTTCTGAGTTAGAGGTGTCCACAAGATACTAAGGAGAGGATGGAGGATGGAAGTTGTGGTTATTAATGGGTGTATGAATCAGTGACTTAGAGTGAGCACTTCTCCGTGGGGGTGGTTTCGGTGAAGGAGTGGAATTGAATGATGGGAGGAATTTGGTGGAGGGAAGGGCAGGGAAGCCTCCCTCATCGACTCTGAGTACAAAAGAAGCCTCAGAGAAGTTTGGAAGTTGACTGGAGCCTCACTGGCAAGTTGGGATTTCAGTATGGTAACTTAGGAGATTTTGCTGATGACAAATAATTCAGCTTTTAAGTCTTCTTTCATGGGAGTGAAGGTCTCAGAAGAAAATGGATGCTGGGAAGGGTTACACATTGCAGGCATGAGCTTAATAGGACAGAGCACACACATGATGCTGGAGTGATGCTGAAGCCAGATGGAAATACACATTTTAGATGAGGAAAATTGGTTAAATATCTGGTTTCAGGAAATGCCTTTCTAGAGAGCCTGCGATATATAGAAATTAATCACTTTTGTGCAGTAGGCAGAATCTAGCTTGCCAGATATTTCTACTGTTCATTTGTCTATTATCTCAGATTGAGAATGTTTTACTCTCTGTGCGACCCCCCGGGAAGGGACCCCCGACCCTCGGGGGTGAGGTGATGAGGGTCGCTACTAATTTGGTGGGCCTTCACGAGCAGATCCCATCTGGAAAGTGAACTTCAAGAGGTTAATGGAATCAGGCTCAAGACAACTTTTGCTGATCAAGAGCCTTTATTTTTTGGGGCGCGCTGGAACTTATAGAGGAAGGACCTCAGGGGGTGGTACAAGCATGTCAATCAAGTCTCAATTCAAATATACACCAAATACGGTAAAGACAAAGCTGTAATTTTCCATCAGTCATCAGTCAGTCGCATTCCACAAATGCTTGTCAGCGTAAGTCAGGTGCAGGAATTAGGGAGGGGTAGGGAGTATTCAATGGAACACTTTAATCTTTTGTTAACAAAGACAATTACTCTGTAAGGGTACTTCCCCCTGGCTAGGCGGGTGGGCTGCCCTGTGTAAATTTAACTTTTATGGTTAGCCTTTTCCTTTGTCTCAAGGGCATGTGTGCTCGTAGTCACGTAGTCAGAAGGCCAAGAAACAGTTGACAGACTCCATTTTGTTCAAGGTTATAGCAGTCCCCAACATCTCCCCCCTTTTCTATATAGTAAAAGAAGAGAACAATTGGGTGAAGTGCCTGTCTTAGGTTACCTGGTGGGCTTCCAGTTCTGTACATGGCGAGAGAGGATACGAATTAAGTTTTTGCCGGCAATGTTTAGAGGGCCATGTTTGCTCCCAGACTCTGGCACCAAGCTATCCCCGTCTTAAGCATCTCCACAGCCTGGAGCAGAGTGAACGCGGGCGGTTGGCCAGGTACTCAAACTCCTGAAAGCTCAAAGTTTGGAATGTAGGTTTGTCTACAGCCTCAGGTTCTTCGGGGTCTTGTTGAGAGAGCTGCTGATAGTGAACCTGAACTGAATTTTTGGTAGCCTCATCAACCTGATTTTTAACAAAACCAGTAAGGCGATGAAATGCCCAAGGACCAAAGGAAATAAGTAACATGAAGCCAATAAAGGGTCCTAACAAACTAGGCAGCGAAGTCGATAGCCAGGGGGAGGTAGAGAACCAATTTTTGTACCAAGATTCACTTTGATCCAAATTTCTTTTTGTTTCTTCCAGACTCTGTTCAACTCTTCTGATACTATCTCTAACTAATCCTGATTTGTCTTTGAAAAAGCAACATTCCTCTTTAAGGGCGGCACAAACTCCCCCCTCCCGCAAAAAGGCGAGGTGGAGACCGTGACAGTTTTGTTGTATCACTTCAGCTAAGGAACCAACAGTTTGTTCTAAGTAATCTAAACCTCTTTTTAGCTCATCTACGTCTCTAATAACAGTGCGGGTTAGAGCATTAACAGAGTCCTTTGTGTGGATTAGGGAGTAAATTCCTGTGCCAGCTCCTGCTGCACCCAGACCAACCAATATGGCTAATGTAAGGGCGGTGACCGGCTCTCTTTTTTGGTGAGAGAGAGTCACAGTTGGATCACTTTGGGGCAATAAATCAGATTCAGGGTGAACAGTCAACTTGGGCACGAGTACAACAAGGACGCAGTAGTCCTTGTGCACAAGAAAAGCATCTACAATAATATGCGGGGATAACCCTGTGGAGCAAGCAAAAAAGGTGAGGTTGGGGGCAATAAGGAAGGAAGCATGAGCAGCAACTTGCATGGTTTGAGTACATGCTTCTAACAGCGGGGTGGGGGGAAGCATACGTGGTCCCAAAAGGCAGAGTCCAGATCCCACGACCTGTCCTAAGGTCACGCCGCGTGGTTGTGGCTGCGTGGCCCAGCGAAGCAGATTGGTGTCGTTGGTGTAGATGGGTGAGCCGAAGGCTGCAATTCCTTCGTAGAATGGAGGGATGGCCGAATAGCAAATCCAGCAGCGCTCATAGGTGGTGTTGGAGAGTGCCTGGGCCGAGGCGTTGACCATCTGAAGGATGAGGTCCGCGGTGGAGACTGGACCAGCGGGCATGGTGGGTTGATAAACAGTGGTGGTGGCAGTGGGAGCTGGAGAATGGAGATTAGGAAGAGGGCGAGGGGAGGCAGCCTTGGGTAGGAATGAGCCACCACCAGAGGGGTATAAAAAAGGATTGGGGCCAACAGCAATAGGGCGAAAGGAAGGGATTTCTTTCAAAAATCTAATGGAAAAGGTGAGGCCTGGGTCCGTGCCAGAAACATATAGGCGTAGACCCCAGTAAGCGCCTTGGGAACCTTCCCAGAGGAACCTTTTTCCTGCAGCCGTAAACTGGATATGCAGGAGGTTGCACCAACTGCGTGAACAAAGGGGATTAAGTGGTGTTGGGCCAGAATTAAGCTGTCTGGCCGGGGGATGTAAGGAGGGAAACTAAAATTCAAAAGGAGAAATGGAAGAAGTAGCAGGCAATGTGGTGTCATCTTAACTGGGAGTTTTGTTATCAACAGCATCTGAAAGAGAAAACAAGAGATTCCTCAGGGGCGCTTTCCCTGGGAGGGTTATAAAGCTTGACCAGTTTGTCTGGAAGCCACCGCGTTTCTCCATTGCTGGTGTTATAAAAGCAAGCATGTCCTTTTCCCCAGATAAGGACTGGGTGAGGACCGAGCCATTGGCTCGTGTGCACATCCTTCCAGAATACCTTTCACGGGTGGAAGGGTGCCAGAGCCGATCAGCAGCTGATCGGCCATTGTTGTCCAGAGTGAGAAAATTGAGCACAAAAAGTGCATGATTTAAAAGTAGGCGATGCTTGCCTTTGCGAGCGTACAGGGTTTCGCTTTCGGAAGAAAGCTTAAAGAGCATATTTTTTAAGGTCTGATTAGCTCGCTCTACAACTCCCTGTCCTTGAGGGTTAAGGGGAATTCCTGTTTTGTGGGTAATGCCAAATTTTTTACAAAAATCCTTAAATTTAGAACTAATGTACCCTGGGCCATTGTCAGTTTTAATGGCGATAGGGACAGGAATAATAGTAAAACAATGTAAAATATGGGCAATAACGTCTTTGGTGGCCTCTCCTGTTTGGAGAGAGGCACAAACAAAGTCACTAAAGGTATCCACCGTAACATGAATATATTTAAGATTACCAAAGGCAGAATAATGAGTAACATCCATTTGCCAAAGCTCACCAGGCACAAGACCACGGGGGTTGACTCCTGTATGAGGCTCAGGCAAAAGGGAGAGGCAAGCTTTGCACGATTTAACTATCTCTCGAGCCTGTTCACGAGTGATGGAATATTGTAGCCTAAGTGTTTGTGCATTAAGGTTATGTAATCTATGAGCCTGTTGTGCTAACTGTAAAGAGTTAGACTGATCAAACACAAACCAAAGAGAAGTCAGAGGTAGCTTTTATGCATCTGTCTGAAAGGTTTTTAGAAACCACCTTCTGTAGTGATTTGGCTAAGCTGGTACATTCAACTTGAGAGACAATAAAATGGCAGAACAAATCCAAAGACATAAAGTGAAGGTTCTGTAATGGCACTGACCACACACACACACACACACACACACACACACACACACACACACACACACACACACACACACACACACACACATACATACACATACACAGCGGTTTGAGTGTAAAAGCTCCTTTAGTTTCAGACACTGGGTACCCTGACCACAGACAGTTTGTGTGGGGCTGAATAGAGCATGGACTTAGAACCCAGCAGGGTCACAAGGCTTCAGGTGCCCCTGCCACCCATGGATGTATCATAAACGACAGTGTGACACAGCAGTGACCTCACAGCTTTAAGTTTAGGACTGGCTAAAGAAATGCAGCAATGGCCTGGTAACACTAGCTGGGCCATTTAGATGCTGTCCAAGCTGACAAAGGCCACATGGAACTAGAATGACATACTTTTGGGGGTCTGGCCGATCTCAAGAAAACTAAACAGACCAAAAGTGCCACAAAGACTCCTAACTAATACGTTTACATTCAAGCCTTCTCTTTAGGTCTTAAAGAGCATGCTGTTCAGAGGTGGAAAACTTTTTGTTGGAAAGCCAGACGAGGCCATTCCACAGTGCTCGAGAGAGCAGAGTCTAGTCCGCACACTCTAGCATATAATACTGAAATGTGTTGGGATCGTAGAAGCAAGGCAATGTCCCAGCACAAGATCAGTGCAATTTACAGGATCAACATGCCTGCCACAGGATGCCCATGACAGAGCTACACGTGTACTGTCTATGGGGAGCCAGCCAGCACGGTAACTTTGGGGAAGGGTTTAAAACATAAACAAAATGTTTGCATTCGCAAATGAGGCATATGAACACCAAGGGAGTGTAACATCTACTCAGGGTACATTCCTTTTTTCATAGGTGTGAAAAATGAGTTAGGGAGAGGTCACAGAAAGGTTGCTTATGGCATGCCTGGGACTACTGGGATTGTCCACTGCCTGTATAGCAAAATGCCCATGAAAAATCCTTGTAACAATCCAAGAGGTCAGGGCCATGCTGAGGGCCCTGAAAGTTCGTTCCTGTGACCAGCCAGCGCTACCACCACAGGGACTACCAAGAGAGGCCACCTAGCCTCTAAGGACTCCTAGACAACAGGGGTCCCAGCTGTCAGCTGCATGACTCTAGGCTGATCTACCTTTAACACATTGTATCAAATATAGAATTTGATTGAAAAACTGCTTGTAAAAATAAAATTTAAATCACCCTGTAGATCAATGCAAAAGCATACCACACTGATACATCTATAAGAAAAACAATTCATCCAGGAAAACTACATCTGTGGCTTCCAAAAATAAAGCATCCACAAACCTGATTTCTTTTTGATATCGAAAATAGGGGTATTCCAAGGAGATGTGGAGAGTTCTATATGGCCAGCATTGAATTGCTCCTGCACAAGCTGCTGGGCTGCTTCTAATTTTTCTTTGACTAGAGGCTATTGCCCTACCCAGACAGGATCATCATTTATCCAGGTGATTTTATCTGCCGGGGCGGGGGTGGGGTACAGGGGAGGTAGTAACCACTACTGAAAATTTTGAGCAGATGGGCTATAGCCAAGGCACGCTCTATCATCGGGATCGGGATTTTGGCGAGCGGCTTCTTCGGCTTGAGCCGCCTGTCTAGTGCGTGGTTGCCCCTGTGCCGCAGGAAGAGGTCTAGCAGGGAGAGGCGGTTCAGCTCCCTACCCTTCAGGGTCAAAAAGAGGGAACTGGAGTTTAGGTGATAGCAAGGAGAGGAGCTGTGAAAACTTGTCGCTGAGAGCTTGAACAAGAGAGGAAGCAAGAGAATCGACAGTGGAGGAGTATTTGGGAGCAACAGGTCGAGGGGGATCAGGGAGCAAGGAAAGATCATAGGGAGGAGGTCTCCTGGCCAGAGAGACCTCGCGCCCAAAGGCCTGAAGGTAGGCAGCAGCCTCTTCCTCTAGCTCCTGGGCAACCCCAGGATCGAGAGGTTCCTCAGTAGGAGCAGAGGCGACAGCCCGTAGGGAGGGGTAGATACCAGTGGCTAAAGAACGAGCTTTAGGGGCACATGAGGTAGGTTGATCAGAAGAAGGAGTAGGAAGCTTATCAAAGCCAGAGTTAGCAGAGGAAGAGGAACAATCTTTAGAAAGATCAGCGACAGAACTTGCCCTGGAGCTGGAACTAGAACACCCTCGAGAAGCAACCTCTAGATGTTGTTGGGCATCTTTAAGAATTTGTTCATTTCGGGGGCTTTCCTTTGCGTTAACAATGATACCTTTTAAGAGATCCCAATACTGGGATCGCTTTCAGAGCCTTTGATTTTGAAATAATTAGTTAATTTGGCCCCGACTTGTTCCCAAGTACTACAAACTATTTTTGGACAAGTAATGACAAACCAGGGACAAACTTCATGTACAAAAAGCAAAAACTTAAGTAAATCTTTTTTCTTAACCTCAATGTTTCTATCTCTTAATTCTTTCTGAATTACTTTAATAAATCTGGCTTCCTTATTTTTTTAACCTCAATGTTTCTATCTCTTAATTCTTTTTGAATTCCTTTAATAAATCTAGCTTCTTTGCTGATATTAGTCCCCATTTTCGAGGGACGGATGGGACGGCGGTGTTAACCTAGGTTATTAGACTAACCCTACTCTGCGCCACCCGGATGGGGCTTACCTGACGCCTTATGAGTGGGCTCCAGACTCGTCGCGCCTCTGCCATCCGATCGGTGGTCTGTAACTTGTGCCCCACGTTGGGCGCCAGTTGCGACCCCCGGGAAGGGACCCCCATCCCGCGGGGGTGAGGTGATGAGGGTCGCTACTAATTTGGTGGGCCTTCACGAGCAGATCCCATCTGGAAAGTGAACTTCAAGAGGTTAATGGAATCAGGCTCAAGACAACGTTCGCTGATCAAGAGCCTTTATTTTTTGGGGCGCGCTGGAACTTATAGAGGAAGGACCTCAGGGGGTGGTACAAGCATGTCAATCAAGTCTCAATTCAAATATACACCAAATACGGTAAAGACAAAGCTGTAACTTTCCATCAGTCATCAGTTGCATTCCACAAATGCTTGTCAGCGTAAGTCAGGTGCAAGAATTAGGGAGGGGTAGGGAGTGTACAGCAGAACACTATAATCTTTTGTTTAACAAAGACAAATTACTCTGTAAGGGTACTTCCCCCTGGCTAGGCGGGTGGGCTGCCCTGTGTAAATTTAACTTTTATGGTTAGCCTTTTCCTTTGTCTCAAGGGCATGTGTGCTCGTAGTCACGTAGTCAGAAGGCCAAGAAACAGTTGACAGACTCCATTTTGTTCAAGGTTATAGCAGTCCCCAACATCTCTGGAGATACTGGTTAAATTTTTAATGTCTAGATGAGGGAACCAAAGTGTTTTCACTTATGCTTGACTCATGATTGAATTGTAGAATTGAAGACATATGCTCGCTCTATTTCTTTGAACTTATATCTCCTCCCCGGCCCAAGGGCTTGACAACAGGAAATAAAACAAGTCCATCCTCAAGTTCCACCTGAGACACTAAAGAAAATCTAAGGAATGGTGACTACTTGATCACATAGAACTGTTCACCCAGTATGTTTAATATACCTACCATGGCTTCTCCCAGATTAAGGCCTTTCTTTTGCAATACTGCCTTGAAATTGTCTCAGAGGGCGATATTCTATACTAATTCATAGCCACAGGACAGAACTCTGGCTTTCCACATGAGACAGCTTTTTAACCCCTGAACAAGGTCTGAGTATGCTGATGGATTCCCCGCTGTTCCTTATCTGCCTATGTGGGCTATTTGATGTGTAACAGGTCTGTCAGTGACCAACAGTTTACAGAAGGATGTGCAAAATGTCAAAGGTGATGCTAGAATCTTAGATGCTGGAATGGTATGCTAAAGTGGGATGAACAGGGTTAATTGAAAAACAAATGCTTGCTGTACTGTTAAAGAAAACTGGAACAATTTTCCTGAAAAGGGAATGTACTCACTAATGTGAGCGGTTTCCTAACATGAGCACTTCCAGACTGGAGGAGGGCCAGAGCCCAGTGGGCACTAATGAGGTAACAAAGCCTGGCGTCACAAAGGCCTCTCCTGACCAATGAGGAGCAAAGACGGGCACTGGGCGGCTATAAAAGGGTGTGTCTTGAGAGACCCAGGTCAGAAAAGATCCGGAGCTGAACCAAACTCAACCTACCGGCCGGCACCATGGAAGGGAAAAGGCGAAAGGAAACCATCTCCCGTTCCAGAAGAGCTCAGCTCCAATTTCCTATGGATCGCATAGAACGCTTCTTCCGAGAAGGAAACGTCTCTCAGCGTCTGAGCGCTTCTGCACCTGTCTTTTTTGCCAGTGTGCTCGAGTTCGTGACAGCCAACGTTCTGGATCTGGCTGGCAAGGAGGCACACGCCAACGGAACGAGGCTCATAACCCCAGAGCAATTGTACCGTGTTGTACAGAACAATGAATATCTCCGTGAATTCTTCAAAGAGAACGGCAACTCTGTGGTCCCTGAGACACCACGACCTGAGGAGCAGTGATGACCCTTGGGTCACAGAAGCTGGGGGTTCACTCCTTAAGCCTCAAACTGCGTCAATATCCCCCTAGCTGGGGAGATAATTAGACGTGTTAATAAAAGTGTCTAAACCATTATCAGTGTTTCCGATTCCTTTCGGTCTGTCATTTTGAGCTAGAGGTGACCGTGAAACATCCAGGAATGGCCGGTGTAGGGGGAATGAGGTGAGGTAAGGTGTGGTTGGGTTGGGGTTGGAAGGGAATCCTTGGACAGCATGGGACACTTAAACTGATTTTGGGGGGGAAGTTTACAATGGGGATCATATGAGCAGTGGTCCGGATGTGACGAGGTGGATGAGGGATACAACAAAGAAGCCATCCTGGTGAGCTGTGAGCTTAGAAGGCTTCAGGATTACGAGTGTGGTGCTGCTGTCTGGAATGGGGTTGATGAAAACTTGGACCATGGTTGGGAAGACTTCATTCGTGGGTGGGAATGCTTCACTTCAGCAGGTGATGACGATGGGGGGGAGGCCATGGAATGTGGTTGGGAAGACTTCATTCATGGGTGGGAATGCTTCACGTCAGCAGGTGGTGACGGTGGGGGCAGGGCATGGAATGTGGTTGGGAAGACTTCATTCATGGGTGGGAATGCTTCACGTCAGCAGGTGGTGACGGTGGGGGCAGGGCATGGAATGTGGTTGGGAAGACTTCATTCGTGGGTGGGAATGCTTCACGTCAGCAGGTGGTGACGGTGGGGGCAGGGCATGGAATGTGGTTGGGAAGACTTCATTCGTGGGTGGGAATGCTTCATTTCAGCAGGTGATGACGATGGGGCGAGGCCATGGAATGTGGTTGGGAAGACTTCATTCGTGGGTGGGAATGCTTCACGTCAGCAGGTGGTGACGGTGGGGGCAGGGCATGGAATGTGGTTGCAAAGATTTCATTCGCGGGTGGGAATGCTTCACTTCAGCAGGTGGTGACGGTGGGGGCAGGGCATGGAATGTGGTTGGGAAGACTTCATTCATGGGTGGGAATGCTTCACGTCAGCAGGTGGTGACGGTGGGGGCAGGGCATGGAATGTGGTTGCAAAGATTTCATTCATGGGTGGGAATGCTTCACGTCAGCAGGTGGTGACGGTGGGGGCAGGGCATGGAATGTGGTTGGGAAGACTTCATTCGTGGGTGGGAATGCTTCACGTCAGCAGGTGGTGACGGTGGGGGAAAGCATGGAATGTGGTTGGGAAGACTTCATTCGTGGGTGGGAATGCTTCACGTCAGCAGGTGGTGACGATGGGGGGGGGGAGGCCATGGAATGTGGTTGGGAAGACTTCATTCTTGGGTGGGAATGCTTCACGTCAGCAGGTGGTGACGGTAGGGGAAGGGCATGGAGTAGTGTGGCATACTGTTGGCATGAACCTCAAAGGATCAGGGATGTAAGCATTGCAGCTCGGATGGAAAGGGATCCTGACAGTCAGGAGCCAAGGACAAACACATCATGCAGTTTACAGCCCTGCTCCAGGGAAAGGTTTCCCCACTGGAACAATTCTGCCCAACAGGGGAGGGTTTCCCCAATAAAGTTGTTACAGTTCTGCTTAGGTCCCTGAGTGTACTCCACTCCGGAGAAAGAAGGTCTCTCAAATCTCATTCAAGTCTGGTCTTGATCACTTTTATTATCACTCTTCCCTCTCTGCAACTGGAGCTAACCTCAGGACTTAGCTGTGGGTGTCTGCTTCTGCTTCCATCAGCTACTGGATGAAGGTTCTAGGATGGCATATCAGGTAGTAATCAATCTCATTATTGGAGATGGGCATTTAAGGTAGCCTCTCCACTACTGCTTAGATTGTTGGTTGGGGAAATCCTTGCAGATCTCTAGACAATTCCCTAGTGCCAGATTTCTCTTTAAACATGTAATGGCTCCCTCTATTAAGGTATCTCTTTTATTGCTCTGATCTATTCTTCCCCCTACTCAATCTGCCTGCTCTCTCATGTCTTCCTCTCCCCTCCTCTTCTCCTTTCTCTTTCTCATAACCCCCATTCGCACCCACGAGCTCCCAATTTGCTCTGGGGATCTTATCCCTTTTTCCTTCTCTGGGGGACCATGTATGTCTCTTTTAGGGTCCTCCTTGTTTCCTAGCTTCTCTGGTGGTGTGGAGTATAGGCTGGTAATCCTTTGCTCTGTGTCTAATATCCCCTTATGAGTGAGTATATACCATGTTTGTCTTTTTGTGGCTGGGATACCTCATTCAGGATGATTTCTTCGAGTGCCATCCATTTGCCTGCGAATTTCAAGATTCCATTATTTTTTCCTTCTGAGTAGTACAAATGTACCACATTTTTCTCTATCCATTCTTCATTAGAGGGGCATCTAGGTTGCTTTGAGGTTTTTGCTATTACAAAAAATGTTGCTATGAACATGGTTGAACAATTGTCCTTGTGGTATGAATGTGCATCTTTTGGGGATATGCCTAAGAGTAAAATTGCTGGATCTTGTGGTAGACTGATTCCCATTTTCCGGAGGAACCACCATACTGATTTCCAAAGTGGCTGTACATGTTTGCACTCCCACCAGCAGTGGAGGAGTGTTCCCCTTTTTCTACATCCTCTCCAGCATAAACTGTTCTTGGTGTTTATCATTTTAGCCATTCTTACAGGAGCAAGATGGTATCTCAGATTTGTGTTGATTTGCATTTCCCTGATGACCAAGAATGTTGAGAACCCAAGTGTCTTTCAGCAATTTTAGATTCCTCTATTGAGAATTATTTTTTTAGTCCCATAACCCATTTTTTATACTTAAATCATTTACTATTATGATATATATATGCATGGATATAAGTGCCACAGAATATGCGTGAAGTTCAGAGAACAACCTTCAGGACTCAGTCTCCTTCTACTGTGGGCTCCAGGGATAGACATGCATTTTTACTCATTGAGCCATCTCTCTGAGCCTCTTTGTCTATATCTTTTTTTATATATATATTTTATTTTCCAGTTTAAATTTAGATAAGAAACGAGGTTGCTTCACTTTTTAATTGGATTGTTTGGTGTATTTGTTAAGCTTGTATCCTGATATATTACTGAAGGTATCTATGAGTTGTAAGAATTAGAGGTAGAATTGTTTGGGGTCACTGATGTAAACTTCACATCATCTGCAAATAGCAAACGTTTGACTTCTTCTTTTCCAATTTGTGTCCCCTTAATTTCCTTTTGTTGTCTTATTTCTATAGATAGAACTTCAAGTACAATATTGAAAAGATGTGAAGAGAGTGGACAGCCTTGTCTTGTTCCTGATTTTAGAGGCACCATGTCGAGTTTCTCTTAATTTAGTTTGATATTGGCTGTTTGTTTACAGTATATTGCTTTTCTTATGTTTAGGTATGTTCCTGTTATCCCTGATCTCTCAAAGACCTTTATCATAAAGGGGTGTTGGATTCTGTCAAAGACTTTTTCAGCATCTAATGATATGATCATGTGATTTTTTCTTTCTCAGTTTGTTTATATGGTGGATTACATTGATGGATTTTCATATGCTGAAACATCCTTGTATCCCTGGGATGAACCCTACTTGATCATAGTGGATGATTTCGCTGATGTGTTCTTGAATTCAATTTGCCAATATTTTATTGAGTATTTGTAAATAAATATTCATGAAAGAAATTGGTCTGTAGTTCTTTTACTTAGGTGTGTCTTTGTGTGTTTTGAGTACAAAGGTAATTGTAGCCTCATAAAAAGAGTTTGGCAATGACCCTTCTGCTTCTATTCTGTGGAACTTTTAAGAGTATTGGTGTTAACTCTTCTTTAAATTTCAGCTAAAAGTCTGCACTGAAATCATCTGGCCCTGGGCTTTTTTGGTTGGGAGACTTCTGATGACTGCTTCTGTTTCATTAAGGGTTATATGTTTTTTTAAATTGCTTATAACTTCATGATTTAATTTTCATAAGGGATATCTATCCAGAAAACTGTCCATTTCCTTTAGATTTTTTAATTTTGTGGAATACAGGTTTTCAAACTATGACCTGAAGATTCTCTGGATTCCCTCAATGTCTTTCATATGTCCCCCTTTTCATTTCTGATTTTGTTAATTTGTATGTTCTCACTCTGCCTTTTTGCTAGTATAGATAAAGGTTTTTCTATCTTGTTAATTTTCTCAAAGAATCAACTCTTTGTTTTATTGACTTTTTGTATTGTTTTCTTTGTTTCTACTTTATTGATTTCAGCCCTCAATTTGATTATTTCCTGGCGTCTATTCCTCTGGGGTGAGTTTCCTTCTTGTTGTTCTAGAATTTTCAGGTGTGCTGCTAATTTTCTAGTGTGACTATTCTCCAGTTTCCTCATGTAGGCACTTATTGCTATGAACTTTCTTCTTATCACTGCTTTCAAAATGTCCCATAAGTCTGGGTATGCTATGCCTTCATTCTCATTGATTTCTAGCACGTCTTCAATTTCTTTTTTTATTTCTTCCTTGACCCAGAGTCATGCATTTGAGCATTGTTCAATTTCCATGGGTTTGTAGGGTTTCTGAAATTTGTGTTTTTGAACTCTAACTTTAAACCATGGCGATCCAATAAGATACAGGGAGTTATTCCAAATGTTTTGTATCTGCTGGGTTTTGAGTATGTGATTGGTATTAGAGAAGGTTCCATGTGGCAATGAGAAGAAATTGCATTCTTTTGTGTTTGGATGGAATATTCTATAGCTGTCAGTTAAACCCAATTGTGTCATAACTTCTGTTAATTCTTCTACTTCTTTGTTAAATTTCTGTCTTGTGGTCCTGTCTAGTGGTGAGAGTGGGGTGTTGAAATCTCCCACTATAAGTGTGTAAGGTTTTATGTGGGATTTGAGTTTTAGTAATGTGGGTGCCTTTGTGTTTGATTCGTAGGTGTTCAGAATTGAGAGTTAATCTTGGTGGATTTTTCTTTTGATGAATATGAAATGACCTTCTTCATCTCTTTTTATTGATTTTAGTTTGAAGTCTAATTTCTTAGATATTAGGGTAGTTACACAAGCTTGTTTCTTGGGTCCATTTGATTGGATAATCTTTTCCCAATCCATTACTCTGAGGTAGTATCTGTCTTTGATGTTGAGCTGTGTTTCTTGTATGCAGCAGAAGGATGGATTCTGTCTTTGTATCAAGTCTGTTAGCCTGTGTCTTTTTATAGGTGAGATAAGACCATTGATACTGAGGGATATTAACGACCATTGATTTTTAATTCTTGTTTGTTTTGGATTTGTTGGTGGTGATGTTATTGTGGGTGGATTCCGCACCCTCTTTTTCTTTTGACTTTTGGTAAAGTGGGATTATCTATTGCCTATGTTTTTGTGAGTATAGTTAACTTCCTTGGGTTGAAGTTTTCTTTCCAGTACTTTCTGTAGGACTGTATTAGTGGATATGTATTGTTTAAATCTGGTTTTGTCACTGAATATCTTGTTTTATTCATATATAGTGATTGAAAGCTTTGCTGGGTATAGTAATCTGGACTGGCATCCATGGTCTCATGGTGTTTGTAGAGTATCTATCCATGACCTTCTAGCTTTCAGAATTTCCATGGAGAGGTCAGGTGTGATTCTGATAGGTCTGCCTTTATATGTTATGTGAACTTTTTCCTTTGCTGCTGTTAATATTCTTTTTTTATTCTGTATGTTTGGGGTTTTGATTGTTATTTGGTGAGGGGACTTTTTTGTGGTCTACTCTATTTGGTGTTCTGTATTGGCATGTCTTTCTTTAGCTTGGGAAAGTTTTCTTCTATGTTTTTGTTGAATATGTTTTCTGCACCTTTGAGGTGGGTTTCTTTACCTTCTTCTATACCTATATTCCTAGGTTTGGTCTTTTCAAGGTATCCCATATTTCCTGGATATTTTATGTTAGGGATTTGTTGGACTTAAGATTTTCTTTGGTCAATGAATCCAGTTCTCCTAGTGTGTCTTCATTGCCTGAGAGTCTCTCTTATATCTCTTGTATTCTGTTGGTTATACTTGCATCTGTAGTTCCTGATTGTTTACCCAGCTTTTCTATTTCCAGAATTCCCTCAGATTGTGTTTTTCTTATTGTTTGCATTTCAACTTTCAAGTCTTGAACTGTTTGAACTGTTTCCTTCACTTGTTTACTTGTTTTTTCTTGCCTTTCTTTGCTTTCTTTAAGAGATTTGTGTATTTATTGTAATTTTTGTTTGTCTTTTCCTCCATTTCTTGAATTTTTTGGTTTTTTTTGTTTCTTCCATTTTTAAGGGATTTTTTCTCAATTCCTCTTTTAGGGTCTCTATCATCTTCATAAAGATTTTTAAGGTCATTCTCTTCTGTTTCATCTGTGTTGGGATATTCAGTTCTTATTAGTGCAGAGTCCCTAGACACTGGCAGCATCATATTGGTGTTTCTGTTGTTGAATATATTCTTATGTCATTTTCCTATCCCTTCTTCCAGTGGTTGCAGGTGGGGTGTCTCCCTCTCCTGGTGGGTATGGGTCCAAGATTCTCTTCCAGTAGGTGCCAGCAGGTCCAATATTCTGATGGCTCTCCCAGTGGTTGCAGGTGGGCCTAAGTCACTCCCTCTCCTGGTGGGTGGAGGCGGGACTAGCATTTTGATATCAGCAGGCTCTGGATGGCTTTGCCTGCTGGGGAGTACAAGTGGAAGGGGGCACCCAATAGGCTGTTAATCAGGTCTGTAATCACATTACTGTCCTGGTAGGCCAGGCTCAGGATCTGACATGGCTCAAATTAACACACAACATTATATTAAGAATGGATGTGCGTTATACCTAGAAATGGAGACATATACCTGCAATGATGGCACATGGGAAGTTAAGTCAGGAAAATAAGTATCTCAGGGCAGCCTTAGCTACATAGCACATTTTTGGACAGGCTGAAATTCTTGAAAGTCTGTTTCAAAAAATAAAACAAACCAATCAAATGAAAAACAACTCTTAGTGTTCTATTGCTGTGAAGAGACACCATAACCAAGGCAACTCTTATCAAAGACAGCAGCTAATTTGGTGCTTTCTTGCAGTTTCAGAGGCTTAGTCCATTATCAGTATGGCAGTACAGTGGTGGAAATGGTGCTAGAGAAGTAGCTGAGACCCATAGAGTAATATACTGGCCGAGAGAATATCTGGGCTTGGCATGGGCTTTGGAAACCTCAACACCCACCGTCAGTAACACTGCCTCCAACAAGGCCATATCTCTCATTCCTTTCAAATAGTGCCCTAGGGACTAATTATTCAAATATATGAGCCTATGAATGACATTATTATTCAAATAATCACATTCCACTTCCTGGTCATATCATAATGCAAAATTTGAGTCAGTCCAACTTCAAAAGTCTCCATATTCTATCACAGTCCCAACCCTATTTAAAAGTCCAAAGTCTCTTCCTGAGAGTCATAGAAATCTCTAACCGTAACCCTTGTAAAACCAAAAGGAAAATAACTTACTTCCAATGTACAATGACATAGAATATAGATTACCATTACAAATGGGGAAAGGGGGCATAGTGAAGAACTACTAGACCAAAGCAAAACCAGAAACCAATAGGGCAAACTTTAAACTCTTCATCTCCATGTCTACTGTCAAAGTAGTCTTCAGTTCCCCAACTCCTTTCAATATTGCTCACTATAACACACCTTTCTCTCTTTGGTTGGTTCCATACCATGGTAGCATGTCTTTTTGGAAGATATCCCATGATTCTGGCACCTCCAACACCTTGGGGTCTCCAACAAAATCCAGGCTTCACTATCACAACTTCACATAATGTTCACTCTGAACCTACATGAAGAGACACCCCTAATATACACCCAGTCTCAGTAACTTTCCTTATTCACAGAAAGAGTTTTTGCAACCCCTTTCTTGTATCCTTGACTATAAAGTCAGAACCATGTGGGTGAAACTGCCAATTTCTGATGCTTTCTGGGGCTGGAGCATGACCCCCTTCATTCAGTTACATCTGTATCAGCTTTTTGTTGTTGATCCTTTTCCTCACTGCATAAAATTTTCTTCAATTCAGTTTTACAAGTTGGAAACTTAGCTATGTGGGGTCTTGCCCTGACATCATCACTCCCTTTATTCCTTTTGGCATCAGGTTTTTCTTTAAACGTTTTATCTCCTTGAGCACTGGACTTAGCTCCACTACACTTTGTGGTGCCCATTTCCTCCTCAAACCCTACATTTTGCATTTTTTCTTGCTCAGTTTGTTTCTTTCATTATAGATCTGCATAAGAATGACCTCTAATGATGCTTGACACAGTCAATAATAGGCTGTCTTGAAATTTCCTTCATCAACACCACCAATTCACAACTCTTCAATTTAGCCTCAGTTGACTTTTTTGGACAAGCACAGAAAAGAGCAACATTCTTTACCAAAATATTGCAAGAATGATCTCTAGGCTACTTGCTAATACTCTTTTCCTCTGAAACCTCTTGAGACAGTCTATCATAATCTAAATTGCTCTCAGCACCACTGTCTTCCACACTCATACTAGTATGGCCCATAAAACCACAATTAAAGCATTCAACTGCTTTCCTAATCTACTTGCATAACAGTCATGCCAGTCACAGCAATACCTTGCTCCCTGGATCAACTTATGTCTTAATGTTCTTAGTCAGTTACTGTGAAGAGACACCATAACCAAGGCAATTGTTATAAAAGAAAGCTTTAATTGGGGCCTCAATTACAGAGTTTTAGTCCATTGTCATCATTACAGGAAGCATGGTGGCACACAGTCAGAAATGGTACTCGAGAAGTAGTTAAGAGGTACATCCTGATCATCAGGGCAAGAGAGATTCTTGGAATGGGCTTTTGAAACTCCAAAGTCTGTCATTAGTGACACTTCCTCCAACAAGGCCATACCTTCTAATCCTTTCAAGTAGTGAAACTCCCTGGTGATTATGCATTCAAATCTATGAGATTTTAAGGGTCATTCTTATTCAAACCACCATAGTAACCAACTAAACAAGCCAACAACAGCAATAAAAAATTAAGACTTGATAGGAGGATCTTGGAGTGTAACAATTTCTTGGTTTGGGATGGAACTCAAGGTTTGAGAAATAAGATGACTACATATGATTAGTTGCCTTTGGAAGCAGAGGTATTTTGAAAGCCCGGGTATGCTGATCCTTGCTGATTTCCTGCAGGGATGCTGCCAAAAGGGAAGACCATTTTTCAGAAAGTGCATTTAATATTTTCAAAACAGGATTCTAACAAGAAATGTTCTTATAATAACATTTAATGTCTTATTTCCTGGTGTAAAAATTACAAAATGACAGATCAAATTCTAGTCTAGGCATCAGCTGTGATCATTAGGATTAGCATGATGCTTTAGTGGGAGCATCACTTGGCCACAGCTACATAAAAATATAGATATTTCTATCTGCCCCCCCAAATCAATTTCTGACTTCTAGTGAAATCAAATAGCCTGAGAATATATGTAGTTATATTTAGATAAAAATTATTAGTTGCTGCCCCATGAAATCCAGATCCCTAATTTTCTGCAACTCTTACATTGTTCTATGGTATGCCAGTGGTGACTCAGTCTTTCCTATGTGTTTGTTTCTGGCACTTCCCACAGCTTGAATTCATCCTTCCTGCTGTAATAGGAAACAAAAATAAAAGTCACTTGTTTTGTTAAGAGAAGCTTTTTCCTTGCTAGCCACTTTGGTTTTTCCCTGCCAGTTGCCTGGGCTCTGCCGCTTTGTAGTCCCCCAAATAAACACACAAGACGCTGTATTAATTATAAAGCTGTTGGCCTTGTTTGTTTCTTACTAGCTAGCTCTGACTTAAGTAATTACCCCATAATTGTTAATCTAAGTATGTCTCTTACCGGAGAATAGTTCCGGGCTCCTACCCGATGGCGTTACATGTCGACTCTCTGTGTTTTTCCTTCCCAGAATCCTCCTGGATTCCTAGCCCCACCTATCTAGATTCCTATTGGTCAGACAGTCTTTATTGACAAATGCACAGGACTTCCCCAACATCTCCTCTTTTCTGTTTAAACAAAAGAAAGGTCTTAACTTTAACATAGTCAAATTATATACCACAGAACAGTTATCAAGTAAGAATACAGTTACAATATTTTGTCTATCAACATTCAGCAAGATTTAAAGAAAATATCTATCTCATTCTTGTGAGTCCAAAGTCCTATATGTAGCTTATCTTTTATCATAACTAAGGAAAACTATAATTATAACTATCTGTCTTCAACTCCATCAAAGACCACAGAAGGATAATATATAAACACTAGGATTGACAGAGATATCTTACTGCCTGGGCAGTCACCTGAAGTTCCTCTGTAACGTTGGGGCATCCATCTTCAGCCCATAGGCCACAATGTGTCTGGAACACTTCTCAGCAAAGCAGGAAATTTCAAACTGTCCATCTGCATTGGCAGTCTGTCAGTCATTTTTCTTTGTCCTGCAGAAAGTCTCGTAGACTCTTCATGAAGCAGGAACCCTGTAAGACTGAGTTCAGTAGTCACTTTCCTGTGGGTCCTGCATGTCCAGTTTATACAGCAACAGTCAGTCTAGGCAAGAGCAGTTTCTTGCCCAAATGGCTAAACTTGCCATGTTGAAAGCAAACTCCATAATAAGTTTCTTCGATGCCCATCTTCCTCTCATACGTAATTGGTGCTGCCAGGAGCAGACATTTCTCATTGTCAAGAAAAACCCTAAACCATTTTAAATGCCATTTTTCTGAAGGTCTTTGAGAGGTTTGAAGACTATCTATCTGTCTCAAATACATTTCTATATATCTAGAAAACCTAACTTACCTAACTATAAATTCTGACTATTATAAGTAACTATCTATTGTCTGTATTTAATTATGCATTACATTTTAAAAGAACAGTATAAGTACAATACTTAGTCAAGAGGAGAAATATACTTATCACAAAATTGACTTTGAATTTGTATCAATAAATGAAAAACAATACCCATGCCATAATTCCCCCTTTTACCATTAAAAAGGGATTGGCTGTGATCATTAACTAATTATAAACAATCCCATTTAAATGAAAACAAAGGTTTATAAACAAGATGGGAATTAGGACGTCGCTCATTCCAAACTGCTTCCTGCTGGAAGGGGGCGCTGTTCATACCATGGGGATCATGACAAAACTCAGAAACCTTTATAAGTCCGTATTTTCGGGGTCTGTAAAGCTGCATCATCTTAGCTGTCTCAATAGTTGGAACACCTGGTCCACTGCTTCTGGGGGTCTTGGTTCGTCAAACCACAGAAGTCTGGAAGGAATCCTCAGCTTTTCATTTTCTGTGGAAACATAAGCAAAATCTCCTTTCCCAAGTAACATATCCTTATACTTAAATTTTGAAGTGAAGGCATTTTCAAAAGATAGAAGTTGGATTAATTCAGCAGCATTTATAATCAAGTGTACTTTAGTAGCAGTTCCTTTCTGACCAAGCAAAAAACTGAAAAACATAATAGCGTACAGTATCCAGAATTTCTGTGTATTTTCCATCTTTACGTGGCTTATTTATTTATCTATTATTACTCTATTTATTTCTTTTACTTTTATTTATTTTTCTTTGAGACAGGGTTTCTCTTTGGAAACCTGCCTGCCTCTGCCTCTGGAGCAATTCCTACCGGCGTGTGCCACCACAGCCAGCTTCTTTATTTTCCCTCTCAATCTTACGTATATTTTTAAACACACTGTAAACCTTTAGAGATTTTCTTCATCCAAGTCTGACTTTACTGTAAATCTTTGTTTTTCTGGCCACGTGTCTTATCTGTTAAAACCGTGGCTGTTTTAAACTGCCGTTTCAAGATGGCGGGCATAAGCATGACTCCAGCTTACCGCCTCAGTCCATGCTGACATCCAGCAAACGCTGCCACTTCCAGCAGTACGTAAACACCTTTCAATCGTTAGCAGAGTCTCTTAAACGAACCTTGTTGGGTTTTTTTTTCCTTTTTTTCTTTTTATGCCGAGTCAGGAAGCGAGCCGCGTGAATCTCGGCTTGTGGCTAGCAAAACAGAGCACACCTGAGAAAAATGCTGCTACCAAAAATCTGTGCTTCTCTCCGTTCTTCTGTTTCTAAAATTCCTTTAAAGCTTTTGTTATTTTGCGTGGAAATTCATGATCCCACTCCTGATCACCATTCTGTTAAGAGAAGCTTTTTCTTTGCTAGCCACTTTGGTTTTTCCCTGCCAGTTGCCTGGGCTCTGCCGCTTTGTAGTCCCCCAAATAAACACACAAGACGCTGTATTAATTATAAAGCTGTTGGCCTTGTTTGTTTCTTACTAGCTAGCTCTGACTTAAGTAATTACCCCATAATTGTTAATCTAAGTATGTCTCTTACCGGAGAATAGTTCCGGGCTCCTACCTGATGGCGTTACATGTCGACTCTCTGTGTTTCTCCTTCCCAGAATCCTCCTGGATTCCTAGCCCCACCTATCTAGATTCCTATTGGCCAGACAGTCTTTATTGACAAATGCACAGGACTTCCCCAACACACTTGCATTTAACAAATTCATGCAGTTTTGTGCCAGTCAAACTACCTTTGATATGATAATTGGGTTTTCTTCCTTTATTGTTCTATTAGTTAGGTTTCTACTGCTATAATAAACTACTATGAGCAAAAGCAGTTTGAAGAGGAAAGGTTTTATTTGACCTGCACTTGCACACCACAGTTCATTGTTAAAGCTAGGGCAGAACTCAAGGCAGGAACCTGGAAACATGAACTGAAGCAGAGGCCATGGAGGAACAGTAAGTATGGCTTACTCATCCTAGTTTTCTCAGTTTGCTTTTTTATGTACCCTGGAACCACCAGATCAGGGATAGCATTGCCTTTAATGGGCCTTTCCACACCAATCTTCCACTGACAATTTCCCTATAGGCTTTTTCCATTGTATAATTTTAGCTTCTTTGTTAAAAATCAGGTGTTCATAGGTGTGTGGGTTAATATCAGGTTTTTCAGTTCAATTCCATTGGTCTACCTGTCTATTTTTGTGCCAATACCAAGCTTTAAGTTAGGGATGGTGATGCATCCTGAAGTTCCTTTATTGTACAGGGTTGTTTTGGCTCTCCTGGGTCTTTTGTTTTTTTCATATAAAGTTGATTATTTTTCTTTCAAGGTCTGTGAAGGATTGTGCTGATATTTTGATGGGGATTGTATTGAATCTGTAGACTGCTTTTGGTAAGATTGCCATTTTTACTACATTGATCTTATCTATCCAGGGGATATGGGCAATCTTTTCATTGTCTCATATCTTCTTTAATTTCTTTCTTTAAAGACTCAAAGTTCTTGCTATACATGTTTTTCACTTGCTTGGTTAGTGTTACTCCCAAGATATTTTATATTGTTTGGGGCTATTATAAAGGGTGATGTTTCTCTGATTTCTTTCTCAGTCCTTTTATAATCTGTGTATAGTAGAGCTACTGATTTTTTTGAGTTAATGTTGTGTCCTGCAAATTTGCTGAAGGTGTTTATCATCTGTGGGAGTTCCCTGGTAGAGTTTTTTATATCACTTATGTATAAACTATCATATCATCTGCAAAGTTTGACCACTTCCTTTCCAATTTGTATCCTCTTGATCGCCTGTTGTTGTCTTATTGCCTTAACATGGGATTGATCCAGACCCCTGGAATGTGGATGTCAGTGAGGAGGCCTCAGCAATCTATGGGGCCTCTGGTAGTAGATCATTATTTATCCCTGGTGTACAAATGGATTTTGAGAGCCCATTCCATTTGGAGGGATGCGCTCTCGGACTGGACACATGGGAGAGGGCCTGATCCCTGCCCAGGATGATATGACAGACTTTGGGGATCCGCATGGAGCGCCTCACCCTTCCTGGGGAGGAGAGGAGGGATAGGATGGGGCTTGGTGGGAGGGTAAGGGAGGAGGGGAGGAAGAAGAAGCTGGCATTGACATATGAAGCAAGCTTGTTTCTAATTTAAATCTAAACATTTTAAAAAATATCCCAAACGAAGTCAGGTGGTGGTGGCACATGCCTTTAATTCCAGCTCTTGGGAGGCAGAGGCAGGTAGATCTCTGAATTCAAGGCCAGCCTGCTCTATGGAGAGAGTTCCAGGACAGCCAGGGCTAGACAGAGAAACCCTGTCTCTAAAAACAAAAACCAATCAACAACAAGAACAAAAAAATCCAAAACCTTTTGTAAGCCTCAAGCCCCTTTAGAAGAACTGAGGTATACAACAATCACAATTATGCAAAAATCAAAATCAAAATTCACGTGTATAAACCCTCTAGCTTACTGTCTGATGTCTGAAGCTTGTATCCTCACCCTCCAATTCTGACACTACACATACAGCTTGTCTTTTAGGCCTGCTACTTTGCACAATTTCTGCTCTCCTTGTGGGTATCCCATACTGCTGACATCTTCAACATCGCTGTACCTCCATCACAACAAAGGCTTTATTTTTACCTCCTTGGTGCCTCTCTGCAGAAACTCTGACCCCCACCTCAGCTGCTATCCATGATCCCCTCAATCTTTCATCTTTCATGCCTACAAAATGAGTACTGTGTGGATAATCCTTACATTGCCAATTTAGGCTTGACACGTAGACTAGTCCCTTAGACCACAGCTATATCAGCTTCTGTGTGCTGATCTTGAGGGAATAG